TAGTGAATATGGGACAACTTTTGGGAGTCTGAGTAGAGATTTGTTACTGTTGAGCCAAGTTTTTATTTTCATGAATTGAGTTTCCTTCACATTTATTCATAATCTTATTATTTTTTGCTTCACCGAACCCGTAAGGCATAGTTTTTGCCACTCTGTTTCTCCTGGAAAACAATATCATAAGCAAAATAAAAAAATAACACTGGATTTCCCATAAATGAGTGATATGTTTTTCTCCCATTCAAGTAAATAATCATTCGTATGAAATGCTGAGATATTTGCAAAACTCCGGACCACAGGTGTATGCAGTGGAGAACGAACACGCGCTGCTCCCCGGTAAAAACAACAGCGCGTGTTCGTTCTCCACTGCATACACCTGTGGTCCGGAGTTTTGCAAATATCTCAGCATTTCATACGAGTTATATTTCGCAATATAACCTGCCATTAAGAAGAAAAAAAAAGGCAGTAAATAAAAGAGTTAAGATTGTAAATAATCATTATCTATCTATTCTTTTATTGATAGACTAACAGGCTGTTGATAAATAAGTTTTATTCGGTTAACGTTTCGGCTTCTTCGTTTTCCTCAGAGCCGACGACTCCGAGTCGATGCTCTACAATCGCTCCTACTCTCGATGTAGTTTCTTCATCGTTGTATCGAGTCAGATCTTGAGTGGAGCACAGCTTGAATGAGGCAATCTCACCTTCGATGCTGTTTTGTACAGGGCGTTTGTTGATGGTACTGATTTCTTTTTGATAATAATTTGTTTTTCAACGGAAAATCCGCCGTGCAGCAGTCGACATTTTACTAGCTAGCGCATAGCGAATCAACATCTCAAAATCGACTTTCGTTAACCTCGGCGTGACTAACCTGTTTTGCTTAACATGTATGTAATCTGTTGGTGTGGCTATGTATTCCTTCACCGATAAGTTGTGATGGGACTGATAGGTTTGTTCCGCTAGCGTTTCAATCAAGTGACTTGATTATCCACTCTACTGCGGGAGTAAACAGATTTCGTGAAATGATGTCGCCTTATCGGGCCCTTTTCACATGTAGATAGTAAGGGGTCTATGTAAGAGCTGTATAGTTTTTCTCATAGCTACGCCAACATAAGTCATTCTTCAAGGATGTTCTGCAGCTGGCGTTAATTATCACCCCAATTAGGAGTGATCAAGGTGTGTTGAAGTTGGATCAAGCCTCAATTCCCTCCTCCAACAATTTAAGAGAGTTCTGAGTAAAATTTAGTAGTGGCATGTGTGCGAGTCCATTATTTTACGATTTCATGCCATATATTTTTTCAATAAAGGGTGATTTTTAGACTCAAATGTGCACTCTGAACCAGCGGACTTTCGTGAATGCTGGCCTCCTACGTATCCTTCTCAGTGTATTGTCACTGAAGACAGGAAAAGAAAACGAAAGCTATTTGAAATGGGAAGTAGTATTAGCACAGGACGTACTCGAAGCTGTTTCTAATGGTGTCATTACCAAAGATCATTTGTAGTCGTTCATTTATGGAGAATTTTGGAGATCGTTGAGTTCCACGAAGTTCTATTGGTATTGCTAGGGTTAGCGGAAATTTTATATATTCCCATTACTTGTTTGTAACAATGAATTAGGAACTTTATGGAAGCGGATACACATTTTCGGTGTATGAATTTCATCATTTTCATCTCCACTAGATGCTCCGTATAACAAACTGGTTCTTCGTTTTGTCTTTTTTCCTTGCTCTCATATTGGAATTCGCCAACAATATAACGAAATGTCTACTTACTACAAATTTGAGCTATCCTCAAGTGATCCGTATGCGTATCTTCACGGTAACTATCATTTATGCATATATTTATAATTCTAAAAAATATCATTTGATGTTGAATGAACAAAAATAGTCAAGCAGCTGTTCTTGGTGCTCCATAGGAAGACATCATTTAATGCATTTGATTGTGAGTAGGTGTTGTTATCTTTATAGTGACCATTATATGAACGGAGTGTTTCATTTCTCCTTCTGTGCTGTCAGAACTTGTTCTTGCCAATACGACAATGCCGATGGTTGGTCTTGCATATCATACATACAACAGACATGGCTTTATGAATCGATGTTCCATAGATTTTCCGTAAAAACTGAGGATCGAAGGGTACAATTCTGTTAAGTTACAGCTTTACAAGCTTTGCTAGAGTAAGATACTTAAATCCGATGACTGCATGGGGAACTAACGCTAAGTCTTACTGTTTCATTTTGCTTTTATTTGGTGCAGAGACGGGATTTCTTGTACTTTAGTCACAGCCAAAGAACAGTTGTAATCTGCCATCTTTAAAGTTTGCCAAGTAGTACTGGTTCTTTGGAGATCGTGTTGAAATACGAGACCTAAGGTTGCTCGTAACTGTGCTTCCACTTTAAACTTTTATTCCTTCGAGCTGCTTGAATAATCGTAAGATTCGTGGAGGTTTGTGGAATTGTTGCCGCACTTAAGGAAACCAATCACAAGCTAGAAGAGCTCCTAATCCATAAAGGGTGTCGACTGTCTGTGATAACGTCTTAATACGACACTCTCGAGATTAAAAGGAAAACCATGCTATACGAACATTCTATATGTTGGAACAGACGGTAGCACGGTAGGATATTAGAGGCAACAAGAACGGAGAGAGATTGCTTCCGCTTATATACATAAAATGCCAGGCTCGTCTTACCAAATCATAATTATTGTGATGTTGTAGACGCCACAGGCCGCAGAAACATGCTTTAATAGCTCTTCAAGAAACTTAGAAGAAGTTAGGTTATTGTCCGACAAGCTCATGGTGGAGCATTTGTTGTCAGAGAAGTTGATATTGTTGGCTTAGTCATGCTCCGCTCCGTTGTCAAACTTGTTGATTCTTATGAAAACATTTCTCTCTGTCATCCTTGTCTATATGCCTCTTTATTGGAAGAAAATTAGTATCGTTAACTGCTACGCAGGAACATCGACAACTGGTGATACGGAACTACATATATTTTGCGATTTTGTGAAGATTGAAGTTTATGTGGAACGTTAATGAAAATGTAGCAACGGCACAAGAAGACGAATGCAGAATCGGAAATTTTATGTCAGAACAATGGAAATGGATCGTCTTGTGAGCCCTCTACTCTCTGCTGCTCTTCTCTTCTTTGGGGTATGTCTCTCCCAAGAATAAAAACCATCACTACTTGGCCATTTCCTAATAGCACGTCTAATGCGAACATCGATCATACCTGTGTAAGTCGCCGAAATATACTCAACATCGGTGTGATCCCTACTTTTTGACTAGATCACCATCTCCTTCGTGGGAAGATTCGCTTTGGTCACGAAATTTAATGACATTTTATCATCACATCAAATGGAAAATGTGTATGCAACGAATCCATTCTCCGTGATGGCATATTCAACTATATACTGATGCGAAATCGAAGATCTTTCAGAAAAGTTGGAGATACTGTTCATTGGTCTCCGAATCCGTACTAAACAATCCCTTCTTAGCCCAACGACAAGTTTTAAACGTTTACTAAGAGAGACCAAAGCGCTGAAAGGGCTAACATGTTTGTGGCAGGGTCCTGCTCAACATCGACTAAATGTTCATTAGCGCCATTTGTATTATAAAAAAGCAACACAGGAGAATCTCTATGGATATTGACGTACTAAGATTCTATAAGTAGCTCAGAAAGACTTTACTAATACGAAACTCCCTTTTCTATTGTACTAGTTGAAAACGAACGAGATACGAATTCCTAACTTAAAAGTGGAATTCAATGAAGAGGAGATCTGCGCAACTTTTTTGATTCACAACGCCTGTAACAAAGGTTATCGTCTCCTCTGAGAGCAATATACAAAAAGTATTTTCCACATAGTCTCAAAATGCAATTGTAACAGGAATGGGGTTAACTACAAGAGAACATAATACTTCCGCTTATTTTCCCATTAGGGCGTGTGTGGCGCAGTGGTGGGAGGCGCCCTGCAGCACACGTATCGATCGTCGCCCACATATCCCTACAAGCCTTCCATGGCAAATTGGTACCAAACCTGTGTAGGATAATAGCAGCACTCGCTCGATACATCGGTGGGTCACCGCGAGTTATTTTAAAGGCCAGAAATGCATTCAATCACCTCCAGTCGATGTTTAGTGAAGTCGAATGCGTGGTGTATCTCTCATGGATTGATCGACTCCGACAGATTTATCCTTTTTTGTCCTTTTATGTTCTACATATTGACAACTATCCTGATACGCTTTTGCGAAACATATAACTTATCTACAAGAAGGTAATAGAGTTGAAGTGACTTCGGTAACCACCGCCTGAAAAGCTTATTGAGTGTCTTCTATAAGCTTTTCATGTTTATTACTCTGTTACGCTTCTCGAGGAACTTGGGTGAATCCCAACCTAGTGAAGAAGCTGGATCTCGCAAACGATTTAATATCCGTCTTTCATTTTTTGACAGTGTAAAGTGATATCGTTGGTGTGTTTGATAGACTGCCGTATTTGTGGGTTTGGATTGAAACTACCGATTCTCAGATGGACGGCGTGGAACGTTGTTAATAAAATGTTAATGAGACTACTCTTACAAGTTGTCTGGATGGCAACTATTCATATTCACTTTGCTTTTATTTTGTTTGTGCCTCCACAACATCCACTTCAGTCTATCAAAACACTTATTGCTTTACTCTTTTACGATCGCACAACACTGGAGCACAAGTGTTAAGCGCATTAAAATCAAGATGTACGGTCTCTGATCCTGTGCTAGAGGAACGGTGCACTGGTTTCTTGAAATTATCGTTCTATTGTTCGTTTCCCTTAAGTTGTTTTCATGTTTCTTTAACTTCTCCGTATCCCCTATGGACTTCTGTGTATGTTCCCATGTTATCGGGCACGTCTTGGGTTTGATGAAAAAAAATTGGTGCATTATCTAGCCATGATACTTATTATTGCAATACAAAAGGTTCAACCCTTTCACTGCTCCAGCTGTTTTCGCGTGGATGGCTCTTCCGACAGCGTGTCATTGTCATGTCATTTGAGATTCGCATTGAAATCAATGCGCATGGTCATGAAAGGGTTAATAAATCCTGTAAATACCTAAAGTCGAAATTATCCCACTGTCTTAGTTGTACATTAGTTTATTGCATGACGTTAACGTTACGGTAAAGAATGTACGAAAGCCTATAAAAGTGCAGGCGAAACGAGGGGCGCTCTTAGTGTGGTGGTGAACGCATTAGCCCCCGCAAAGGGCAATAGTGCGTTCGTTCCCCACCGCAGACACGTGCGGTCCGGAGTTTTTCAAATATCTCATTACCGTTTTGGTTGTATCACACGCATTACCCTGCCGCGAGTAATAGTAATAGGCAGTAAATCAAAAGGTTGATAGTCTATAAAAGTGTTAAGAATTGTTTGAGTCTAATAAATTCGACAACTTTGCCTAACATGATGAGCTGTGCTTACGTATCTGATGCTCTTTTACTCAGGCGCTTTCTAAGTCGAAACCACATTTTCCTAAAAAGGAAACTTTTCTAGCAGAAACTATAGAGGAACAACCTCAACCAGCAAAGGTGGGCTTCTTGTATTTCTGTTTCTTCCTGCCAAAACCTATCTGGTAGTGTATTTCTAATCATTCTTTTTCAATTATCTATATAATTTGCATAATTGAAACTGAGGTTACAGGCAGTTAGCAGTTCAAATGCGATCAACGATGTTAAGAAGAGTGTTTCGATTAGGAAAAAGAAGGATCCACCACCGAATCTTTGCGGCGTTCTGGACAAATTTTTTGATTCAGTAACGGAGCTCGGTTAGAATACCGAGCTTATCATTAGGATTAGTTTTGCAGGAACGACGTGGTAGCTTAGATTTCTATCAGAAAGTAAGGAGTAAGGACTAATAATCAACTGATAATGAGAGAAAGAGCTGGAGAAAATGGCTTTTCTGTCAGTCCCTAACTTCTTCCAATACTTGAAATGACTCTCTTAATTCGTCTAGAGGAATTCAAATTTTGCTGTTTTCATAGGTGTCGCTGGTATTAGAAAACTTTATAAGGAACAGTTGGCTGTCTACCGTGCTCCAGACTACCTCTATAAGTTCGTCGAATTTGAAAAAAACAAGGACAAAAACCGTTTTTTGGTAAGCTTCTTAGGTATGCTTAGACTAATAACTTTGTTATATTATCTCTAGTTAATCTTAACCCTTTTATTTACTGCCTTTTCTTTTTAATGGCAGGGTATGTCAATCCCGTTGACGAATGATTGCTGATGGCAAAAGATCAATAGAACTAGCTGAGAGACAGGCAAAACGAAGGACCCGGATGGTGTGGTGGTGAAGTGCGCTACTCCCCGGTGAGGACAATAGCGCATTCGTTCCCCACCGCACACACCTGCGGTCCGGAGTTTTGGAAATATCTCAGCATTATATACGAGTGATATCTCTAGTTAAGTTTTTAGTCTTTACCTGAAGTAAATAGAGACTGTAGTTGTTGCAGAAGCTTTCATAGAACTTTGTTGACTGCTCGAAAGAAGCTTTTCTAACGTAGATATCCGCTTCTTTTAAGTTGTACGACTGGAATAATTGCAAACGATAGGCTTGTAATCCAATTTTTTGGTTTCAGCTTAGATTTTTTTGGTTTCCAGTTTGTTCCAAAGTTATTTTCTATAGATAGTGAGCCAAATATATTCCTAAGTGGTCCTACTTCATAATCCATAGACAAATCCATTCCTTTTTTACAAAATTACCTTTGTTTATACGATTTAATGTGCCTTGATGTAATCGTGCTCTTCATTTTTCGCCTCAGTTTTTGTTCATCTCCCTTACTTTATAACAGCTTTTAATCTTTAGTGTGGTATTCGGTTTCTATAAAGAAGGAGTGGATAAACATTATGATTGTGCTAGGTATTGCTTAATATGGAATTGATGTATTGCATTGGTGGATTATTTCGCATTTTTGCTGGGGAAGAAAAGGAAATTTCAGGACGTAGTGTGTCTGGATCATTCTCGTGTCGTCCTTACGTTAGAATCACCGCCTTGTACGAATTATATCCATGCGAATTGGGTTCGCTTTGAAAACCTCGACCGTGTGTTTATCGCCACTCAGGTTTGCCTCTGACGTAGATTACATTTTAGAGAAGAAAACTAAAGACTTGACTGAGAATGTCATGATTCTCAAATTTAGCTTCCATAAAAATACGTGCATGTGTATGTGTGTATTTTGACCAATATTCGTTGACGTGAGCTTATATGGAGTCATACGTTGCAAAAATAATGGGCAGTTTTAAATCTAAACCGACATATCTTAGCTCTTATTGGATCTTGTTAATTAAAGTAAAAGGCTTTAGAATGTGGAGATATCTACTCACAATGTACGCCTTTTTATGTTCTTCTGCCACCATGAGTGGTCCATGAAAGTCTGTTTTTTTTCCTTTCCTCACTTTTGTTGAGTTACTGCATGCATCGTTGGTTTTCGTGGCTGCCGGGTTTGAGTGCGAAATTTTAAAGATTTTGCTTTCATCTCCAACTAGCAAATAGTTTTACATACAGACAGATTTAAAATAGCTGAAATATTCTTTAAAATATGATGCATACCCAACGGTGGAAAAACGTCTCTCTTATAAGACCAACTTCTCTTTTCCACTAAAATTTTCGTCTAGTTCCGAAAACCTTGCTTCGTCGCTAATATGCTGTAAATGGACTTTCATTAAACCTTTCAAACGGGACATTCACTATGTAACGCTAAGACGTTACTTCAAAGCATGAGATGTATCCACTCGTCTTGGATTTTCTTTATAAGTAAAATTCTCATATTAATCATAACGTATCTTACGATCCATGAATTCATTATTTGTCTCCAGTGTTGTTCTTACCAAAAAAACTCACTCAGTTTTTAGATCTTTAGGTAATAAACTTTAAACTTTGGATTTGGTCAAAAATAATCTTGGAGCTTACGTCCAAGGTTATTTTTGTGTGCCCACTACGCTTCTTCCATAGCTCGTTGACGCAACTCCCGTATTTTGGTCGAAAATCCCTATCAGTTATTTTCTAGTGGGTACAACGGGAATTTGGTAGGTTAGAGTTTAGTTCTTTGCTCTATGGATTGGAATGGAGCAGTAGTTGAAGTTACAAAAAGTGGGAATCTGAAGTATATACGGATAGAATAGGGAAGGCAGGTGTTAACCAGGTGCATCGAAAACAGAATATCGTTCCTCTGGATCCGCCAGCATCTCAGGAAAGGCTAAGATCGCTTTTGGTTCACATTTAACATATTCGCCACCTGGGGACGAGCTACGATGCCCGGCAACTAACCGACTGGGAATCGCTCACTGAGGTAGAACCGTGACCTGTGGTTATACTATTATGAAAATATGTATGCTGTGGAAAACGTCTTGGCAACTGCTATCTCTTTATAAAAGTTTAATATCAGTCTTGTTTTAATCACGAAGTAGTAAATGCGGTAACTTTATTTAGGCTCCTTTGCAAAATACTATAGAAGACTTTTGGCGAATGGTTTTTCAGGAATCGTGCTCCGCCATTATAAACCTCACAAACGTACGTTCTTTTCTTGTCAGAGCTCAAGTTTAGTCCAACGCCACCAGGATTTACACTTTGCGAGGACTGCTGTTAGTAGTCCTATCGTTAAAGTAGCATCGCTCAAAATATAACACGCTCTCTTTTAACGAATTTCTACTGCGATTTCTATCAACTTCATCCTGTTGCTTTTGTGCTAATACCTGTATGAAATCGTTTCATAAAAGGATTCGGTGAAGCGGGCTCAAGCAAAGTTGTCGCTATTGTTCATTTTGCAGCTATCACCAGTTTCTTCTCAGATTTCTGGGCTCAATATTCGATACGTAGTTGTGATTTGTACCTTTCAATGGTTTGCTTGCCCAGAACATTTGATGGTTAGGGTGCAGCTATGCACTCTACTACTGAAACGGATCATTGGGATTTGCTAAAGAAGTTGCACATTTTCACTCAGTTGCTCAAATAGGAATGGAATAATGTCATGACAGACCTTGGCAAACTACGTGTGGCTACATTTTCAGCGAAAATAGAATTAAAAATTTTATTTAAAAAAGTGTAAAGCGCGTTGTGGCAACGATTCAGTGGGACTCAGACGGTGGCTCTGATTTGCGATAGGGACGACCGACACTCCTAGTAAATGTTTTTCTTGAGATTCTCGATTACAGATGACAAGTGATTTTGTTGAGTCTTTCTAGGCTCTACCAAGCCGATTTCAGGATTTAGAAGATACTAATAGAATAGTACCATATTTTCCACCGAAGCCAGGAGGATTTGCAAATTATGGGAGAATGTTTGTCAACACTAAAAAAGTCGGTTTGTTTATTTATTTTTGTTTTCTAATCAAACTTCATGGACTATTAACTAATAAAGACCGTTTGTTTAGCTTGAAGACGAAGCAAAGTTTCTCGTATATACACTCGAAATTCTACCAGACGGTTGTTCGAACAGTTTGCTCGTAAAATTGATTAAAACAAAGAGCGATCCTGGAAAATCGCCTTCTACTACTGTCATGTTGAAAATGCTTCGTGTTGTTTCATCGGTTTGTGAATATCTTCGAGGCGGTGTGCTGTGTGGTTTCAGTTTTTTTTCTCAATTCTGAAAGAGCTATCCATTCCTATAGGGTATCTTCGCTACTGTACTTCGATATGTTCACTTAATTGATGATTTCTTTCTTCAATATTGTTATTCATCATTGTTACCACCAGGGTCGCTTGTAGCGTAGTGACTAAGAGAGCACAGCAATACACGTGTGACCGTGTGATTCTTCTACCCGGCTCACTAACCCCTTTACCATTCTAGTAAATTGTTACCAAACTTGTTTGGGAGGACAGCAGCACTTAGTATTACATCAGTAGGCCACTAGTACATCAGTAGGCCACCGCGAATCACTATACAGGTCAGATATGCATTCAGTCATTTCTAATGATGCATAGTGAAGTCGAATGCATTATCACATCCCTCAGGGATTGATCAACGCCGGGAGCTTTATCTTTTTCTTATTTGTCCCTTATTACTATATTCTCTTTTACGTTTTATAAGTGCTCTTATTAGAAGCGTTTTATATCAGAGCAGATTCTCGAATTCTTCAGGCGCAACTCGTCTCCGCGGGTCCCGTTGTTGTTCATTGTGTATCCGGTGTTGGTCGAGCACTTACCATAATTCTCATCGATGCAATTCTTCAACGCCTACTATTTAGTCACCTTCCGGTTGACATTGGCGTGGTATACTTTAATCCTTTCTTAAAAATATCGTCTCTCTAATTTTCTGGACGCTTCCAAACAAAAAATTTTCCTCACAATTTTTCACATATCCATTTAACTTCCTAATTAGTTAAATTGTTGGCTTTATATTTACTTCAGTATTATGGGAGGTTACTTTTATCTTTTGCAACGCCCATCCTTCCCACTTTTTCCCGTCCCGCCACACAAAATCAGGGAAGCATTTGGGCTATTCCAGTTTCTTTATTGTAGCGAAGCAAGTCCTAAGAAGCTGTTTTTTTTATTTTTTACAGTACGACGAACATCCCTAGGTAAATTTTATATCTTTTCCATATAAATATGTTACACGCACAGAGTACTCACAGTAGCGACATAGGCACTCTGCGTCCTGACTCTAGAGAAAAGCCTTTACCAACCATAAAATACCATCCAAATCAAAATTGTGTTGCGCTGTTGATGATTCTTCATTTAATTGAGCAACTTTAATACACAAATCACCTTTGTTACTTATCCTCCCGTGACTGAGTGTCTCCAGCGCCCACAATAAAGTCTCTATCGCTCCAGAGACTGGCTGAGCACCGTATTCTTTTTAGGATCTTCATGACGATTTCTGATATCGGGTTGGTGATTTTCCTACTGTGAACTTAATTTCCGTACCCATTAACAGATCCGGTCCATCGATTCTCGTTAGGACGCATCAGGTGTCCGGCCTACCTGATTTCCGAGATTTTGGCTTCTGGTGTTGCGTCTCCCATTTTTGATCATTTTTGTGGGTCAGAAATTCGTGTTCTCCTCACTTCCGTGACGTTACTCCCAGTACTACCATTTGACCGCATGTGCGGTAGCACTGGCTGTTCTTTTATCTTGTTACGTAGTGAAGAAGTTTTCGATGTGTTCATTAAGGGACGAAGAAATGTAGGTTCTCAAAGGCAGACCCGGAGTTAAGCATTTTTTCTTCCTCCTTACTAATTTCCCAATGCTCTGCGAAACTGTGCAATAGGTTGCTTTGTCCCACTTGATGTCGAAATATCTAAATGCATCAGTAGATGTGTTTGACCGTGTTTCAGAGCACATTATTATAAGAGTGCATTATTATCCGTTACCTATTCGAAAGTTCTTCTACCAAGAGACAGCAATGTTTTTTAAAGTGATTTCAAGCAAACAAGCTCTGTTTACGATGGGAACGCATTTTGTTGACTGTGTTTTGCATGCTCTTTCAAGTGAAAATTTCAAACATAGTACCTTAGTGAATTTATAAGGTAAAAGGAAAAATGTCCGGGTAACTCAGTGGGAGAAATGATGCCAGATTGTTTTACAAAACTTGAGAACATGTCAGTCAGTGCTTTTTCTGCGATGAAACACAATATTGAGAAGAGGCCGAACCTACAACGATTAAGTAAACAGAAATACAATAATTGCCACTACATGGTTATGTACCATCTTTGTATGTCGTGAATGTTCCAACACTTCGTTGCCAACGGTGGGATTCTTGCCTCCTCTTCACAGTCTAAGAGCATTCTTGTGTCCATGTTCTTTCTACCTAACTAAGAGCAAATCTCTACTTTTGGTACTTTCCCTATTCCTAAAGAATAAGCATCGACTCTGGTGGGCTACGGGAACGAGTGGAGTTTATTGGCTACTGGTTAACAGGGGATAGATTTGAGTACAAAGAAGAGTAATAAAGGAAGCTTTGAAACAAGTGATAAATTATGTTGTGATTTCATTGAAGCACAACTCTAGTTTTTCTTCGTCTGGCTTATTTACAAGCTTAGCGTTGTGAATTTCTACCCTGGCTTACATGTCGGCGCTACTGAATTCTTCAGAGCAGCGATGAACGATTTATATATCACTTATTTCCTACAATTTGAATCTTCGTAGTTAACTCCACTCGTATCGGGTATGGTGGGACACCGCACGAATGAAGGCATCTCATCCAGCAGTGTCTTTCTAGGTAGGACGATAGACCGCTCGAATGAAGCAAACTCATCCGACAGTTGCGAAACAGAGGGATTTCTCTCCTACTGCTAGCCAAAAATATCTGACAGTCCATCGTATAGCGGTCTGGAAAATGTTTGCTAGCACGCAGCAAAGTTGTCTTGCCAAGAACGTCTTTCAGTTGGACTAGACATGGAAAAATCGACATTTCGGTGACAAATAACAAACTTGTGTGAGATTCTTACAAATCTTCGTGTGACCAGTGTTTCGACGCCATCACATTCTTCAGTGCTCAGTAGAACAAAATTGTAAATCACAAGCTGATTAGTGTATTGTAGTTTAGTAAAGAGTTGAACTTGTGCACAGCAAGCAACATAGAATCGTCTATGTTTGGCCCTTATCTCACCACATTAGACAGAAATGATCAAAGTGTTTTCGAAATTCAGGATGAACATTCCAAATTCATAGAAATTTTTAGCTTAACTAATTTATAAATATTTGTAATATTCAGTTTTAACATCCTCAAATGGATGCCCACGCATCGTTATTGTATGCCAGGGTATGGGTCCTACTATTTCCTTTTACAGTATGAGTTGTATATTTATATATAGAGTAACATTTATCTATAGAAGCCTTAGACATATTTACCTGTTCGAAGTCAACGAATAAAATATCGTGCGAGTATTAGGGTATATTAAGATCCCATGACCGACTTTCTGTTAACCTCGGCATTAATTGATAATTCAATGTTTTTCATCAATAAGCAGACACGAGGTTGTTAATATAGAATTTATTAGAGACAGTTATCGACCATGTATTACTCTGTGCGGCGGCTATCCACCAACTAACTTAAATACTTACAACAAATAAACGGCTCTGAAGAAGGCGAAACCGCCGAAACGTCAGCAATTGTGTTCTAATAAATTCTATATTAACAACCTCGTGTCTGCTTATTGATGAAAAACATGGAATATATTAAGATCACTAGACTTCTTAGATATTTAGATTTTCCTCTGGAGGAATTTTTCTGATTACAAAGTATAACCAAAGGCAATCCTTAAAGAAACTTTGATGCTTTTGTGAAGTATTCTAGAAGTGTTCACTTATGGAAATTGAGTGCAGAATACATGAAAACCATGTTTCAGCTGGTTGAAATGTTCAAACATTTGCGAAATCAAAGAGCGTCATCTTTACAAAGGGATACACAATTTCTGTTTGTTGTTGCTAGTGTTGTGGACTACATCGGAGTAAGTTTTTCTTCTTTTTTTTTGCAATAGAGCAACATTTTTCCTAAGTCTTGACTTTAGAAGAGCATTGACTGCCACAAGTGCTGCGACTTTGTTCATAAAGTAGCTAGCAGCTGTATGACTGTCAGGTGTTGACCAAGTCTCGTAGTACGATAACCAGCTATTCTCTGTACTATTCCTTCTCTCTGAGTAATATGGTTTAGGACGCGTTTTCGTAGTGAGAAGTGCTCTGCGTTTGCTTCGTTTCGATTGTTTGCCAGTTTTTGGATGCTTCCTTCGCTGTAAATCTATATATGAACATAGAGTTAGAACCGTGTAGTATTTGTATAGGTGTCTTCGCCAATAATTTTGTTTCCTTCTTATCCAAGTTCTTTCTTTCCAAGTTTCATTCTTTTTTTTCAGCCATTGTTTCACATATTTTGTCTTAGAACTCTGTTCACATATAACGTACATTTCAGACACGATATCCTGGTCGATATCGTAAGAAACGAGACAAGTTCAAAGAAGACTATCAGAATTCTATATGCATGCCAGGATTACGAAGGAATGGATAGGAAACTGAGGGGGAAAATCTTTTGTGGGAACTTAACCGACCCAAATGTGCTCGAAACAAAAAAGTTCTTTTTACGTGTTACATGCAATCATTAACTGCAACGTTCTGCATAAAACACTGTTCCGCCTGAGGAGAACACTGAACATTTCAAATTATCCATTGAGCGGGTACTAACTTTTATTGGTTTTCCTTTTTAAATAGTTTAGAAACATCTGCTTCAGAATCAAAAAGAAGAAAGCAGAGGACAGAAAGGCTCTTAAGCTTCAACCTGACGTCATGTAATACAGATGACAAGGCATGAAATAAGCAAGAGAAGAATGAAATTGAAAAGTCGCTAGCGATAATAGTCTATGGAAAATTTATTTAAGCCCTAAAAAATGAACTAAACCTTTCACGGCCGTTGATTTCAACATGTACACTGCTGTATGTTTCGGACTGCATATTCTTCAATTCCCAAGTTTTCTCTAGCCTGTTTCGCCACTCAGAACTTTTTTGCTGTACTTTTTCTCCTCAAGCGATACGTTCTCCAGCAGATTTTACAATAGGGTCAGTGAATGAATAGGTGTTATCAATGTGCTCTACTTCCTCCCAACGGCTTACCTCCTCACCATGGCTGGGAAGTGTTCCTGGGTGTCGGGCAGCGATGTACAGTGGGTGGATTCATCTCCTTGGCAGGGTCTCCAAAGCTCAGATGGAGTCCGCCGTTTCCATCAGGAAGCCCAGTTTAGAGTAAACCAATACCAGGATCCGCCACAGTCCTGGTGTCAAATTAGTTGCATGATGGCAAATCTCCCTCTGATCCACAAGGACGGTGACTACCTGTGGTGGCGATAACCTGGAGCAGACTCTAGTCAGCCTGATCTCAGGACTCCAAGAAAACAGGAGCTAAACCAGCGAAACTCCGAAAAACGGAGATTGTGCTGTAGCACGCACAACCATTGAGAACGATCCGTCCAAGTGTCCAATTATCCAAGCAATGTGCTCTATTTAGAAAAAGCGGCTTTCGGACGATCTAATGGAATTGGTCGATATAAAAAAAGACATCGAAGAGACGCAGAAATACGCTGCAAATATCACCTAAAACCTGAAGAAGGTCAATAACACCGTGGTCAGGCAATGGAGGGGTTTTTTGATCGCAGAGAAAGGTTGGATCACACATAAGAGGCGTTCAATAAAATGGTAACACGCAGATGTACTTTTCGAATAATTGAGAATTAGGGTGACACGCAAAAGGTGAGGAAACCGAGCAATAGAACGATACATTCAAGAAACTGGTGGTTCGTGCCTCTTGCAAGGGAATATGGACATAACGTCTTGAATAATTCTTTCTACTTTTATTCGGCAAACACGAGGTGCTATTTTATTTTTTTATTTATGTAAAAGCTGACGTTTCGGCGGTTTCTGCCTTTTTCAAAGCCTGGAGAGGTCAAGTTGACTACAATCTACACGGCCAAACACCTCCATAGCCAAACGGAGCAAATGCTGAACCAAAATTTCAATCACATTGAACACAGCTCTACACACTTACCGCTTTCTATGAGTCTTCCACTGAGTATGTCGTGTGAAGACCAACCGTACAGAATTCACATAGAAGCGTATTGTGCCCGTCTTATCAAAATAAGAGGCTTATATACTGCCCAATATCACGCGTGATAACGAGGCATTCCTCTCTGCGGTTCATTTTCGGATTCTTGAAATTAATCCAGAATGCCTCTAGAGTTTTGCGCGCTTGTGTTCTCGATCCTTTCGCGAGGATCGTAGCCCCTACTTCAAATTCTCCGTTATCTCTCTGCGTCCTATGCGTGCCTAGTGGAGTATTTGGTTTACGTTTGCCGACTAGGTGTTCTTTTATACGGACGCAGAGTGGTCTACCCGTCTGGCCAACGTATTCCTACCCGCCCGCCTTACAGGAGATCAGATAGACTCTACCCTAACTCATGCAGTTACCATCTCTACCACTGGGGCAAATTATGCAACTTCGCATTGCACATAGACGGTCGTATGGGCGGTTACAAACTAGCTGGCGTCTCAGATTACTCGGTGGCAATTCAATTATCGTTACCGCATTCTCTAGACTGGCCCTTGTTAAACAGCGTTTTATAGCTGCACTTGTTTCATTTGAAATGAAGAGCAGTATAAACGGGACCTTATTGCCGCTAGAATTATCGTTGGGGCACATGTTGTTTCCTCTACACCAATCTCGAGCTACAGTTTCGTAGCCATTAGAAATGGCTATTTGCCGCGCCAAGTTCCGAGACTCCTCTCTCTGCTCCCTTCCTGCGCACATGCTGGTAGCTGTTCGAAACATGTTTCTCACAAGTGCTCTTTTCGTGTGAGAGGTGTGAGACGAGAGGTAATGAACCACGATGTTTTTACTACTTGGCTTTCGATACCATTTAGTAATGTAGCCATTTTCTGATAGGTTAATTTGCACATTTAGAAATAGAAGCCAGTTTCCTTTTGGTTTCTCTCGGGTGAATTTAATATACTCTGACTGTTCGTTCAACAACTCGAAACATGTGAATTTCCTCTTGTGTTGAACAAATGACCAAGCTCATTTGTGCGCAATACCTCTCGAACCATCCGAAGATTGCGCAGTTTAGGCACTCCTTGAAGAGTGTTATCAACTGCTATATCGAGAAGCCGTAGATGTTTATTGCTCCTTCGTGTTGCATAACGAGCTCGTTTATGGCTTGCATAGCGGAGTCATTCGACACGTTTGTATAGAGGGCGGTGACGTCGAAGGACTCTATCACGTACGCCCTGTTGGGTCGCGCGTTACGTAGCCGATCCAGGAACACTTGGATGTTCGTTAGATGAGCTGGAATGTACTTCAACAACTGAGTAAGTATTAGGGTTATTAACCACGTTATTCTATCCGTTGGCCTGTCCACGCAGCTAATGATAGGTCTAACCTTAAATAACGATGGATCGGTAGACACGAGATCATCGCTGGATACTAACTTATGGGTTTTGATAAGTAAGTACAGGACGCGACATGTTGGTAAGTCAACTTTGAGATAAGAGATAACTGATGGTTTTAACCAGTCGCTCTTGCAATTTTAACCCATTCGTTGTTTAAGATGCGGTATTGACTTTTAAATTCCTTCTCAGACGACGGACGACAAAGGGAAGCGTCTTCAAGGTGCTTTTCCATTATCTCAACATCTGACTGATGAGGAATTACAACGGACTCTCTACCTTTATCACAATAGTCTTATGCTTTTCGATCTTATCAGCTCTCGTACCTCCCGCATACCACGTTTTTGTATTTCAGTGAGGTTGGAGCAGCATCTCTTGGTTAATGACCCTAATACTTACTCAGTTGTTGAAGTACATTCCAGATCATCTAACCAGTACCCAAATGTTCCTAAATCGTCCACGTAACGCGCGACACAATAGCGCGTAGGTGGTGGAGTCTTTCGCGTCACTGCCCTCTATACGAACGTGTCGAATGATTCCGCTATGCAAGCCATCCGCAAGCTCCTTATACAACACGAAGGAGCAATAAACATGTACGGCTTCTAGATTCAGTATTTGATAACACTCTTGAAGGAGTGCCTAAACTGAACGATCTTCAGATGTTCAGGGAGGTATTAAGCACAAATGAGAGGGTGGAAATGGGACAACGACTGGCACCCAGTCTTGCCATTGCATTCATGTCTAAGGTGGAAGCGCCAGTAATCGACCTCGGACCGTTACTATACTGTGGATATATAGATGACTGCTTGTTCATTGTTCAACACAAGAGGAAATTCACATGTTTCGAGTTGTTGAACGAACAGTCAGAGTATATTAAATTCACCCGAGAGAAACCAACAGGAAACTGGCTTCTATTTCTAAATGTGCAAATTAACCTATCAGAAAATGGCTACATTACTAAATGGTATCGAAAGCCAAGTAGTAAAAACATCGTGGTTCATTACCTCTCATCTCACCCCTCTCACAATCACACGGAAAGGGTGCTTGTGAGAAACATGTTTCGAACAGCTTCCAGCGTGTGCACAGGAAGGGAGCAGAGAGAAGAGTCCTGGAACTTGGCGCGGCAAATAGTCATTTCTAGTGGCTACGAAACTGTAGCTTGGCATAGGTGTAGGGGAAATCCTAGGCCGACGAACGAGAACTCTAGCGATAAAAGGTCCCATTTATCCTACTCTTCATTTCAAGTGAAGTAAGTGCAGCTATAAAAGGCTGTTTAAGAAGGGCCGGTCTAGAGAATGCGGTAAGGATAATTGAAGTGCCACCGAGTAATCTAAGACGCCAGCTAGATCGTAACCGCCTATACGACCGTCCATGTGCAACTCAAAATTGCATAAGTTACCCCAGTGGAAGAGATGGTGACCGCATGAGTTAGGGTACAGTCTATCTCCTATAAGGCGTGCGAGGACGAATACGTTGGCGAGACGGGTAGACCACTCTGCGTCCGTATAAGGTGCTATATTAACATATTATATGCGTATATTAACAAAGCGTATATATCCGTATATTATATGCGTATATTAACAACATATATGCGTATATTAACAAGGTGCTATCGCCTTGCGTAAGCCCTCTTTTACGTCGATGTTTATATCGTTGTAGAATGGCGATATTTTAGCTGTGAAATTTTTATGTGGTTCACGAAAAATTTTTATATACTTGGTCGGGACGCCCTAGCTGTCCGGAGATTCCGTGACTTCCTCTGTCTCAATTGAGTTAAAAGCTTTCACTAGGTCAAAGATAGTGAAACAGGACGATCTCTTTTACTCGCACGATACCTCAATGTGTCTTGTTAACCTATTGATGCGGTCGATCGTACCGAATTCTTTTCGAAACCCTGACTATTCAAATGAGTGTCTTTCTTCTAGTGTTCTGCCAATCTTGTTTAGGAGGACTCGAGTGAAAAGTGAGACAGCAAGCAGGTCGGGCGATAGTTACGCAGTTCGCTCTTTCTGAACAATAACAGTCTTCCGTTGAATAGGAACCTTTCCTTCTTAGGGCTAACGCGTTAATAGCTGAGCA